TATTGCACCTCATTAATAGCCTTTTTGATTTCGACTTGGTTAGATTTTAGTTCTTTTATTTCTCCAGAAGGGGTTTCTCTAATATCTTCCATCCTTTTTTCAAGCCCAGCTAGTATCTTTATAATCGCCATTCTGAACTCTACTTCCGACATCTTACTAATGTCCGTATTGATTAGGTCCCTGGCAGTTGGTACTGCCTCTTGTTTTTTTTTTGAGGTCATTTTTTCCGTCTTGTCATTTTGTCCAGAGGAGAACAGATGAATGAGAGAACAAAATGCTAACAGGGTAACAACAACTCAAAAAAAATACACACTAAACAAATCAGAAGAGATCTGAAACTGGGGGAAAAGAAAGAAAGAAAAAAAAAAAGAATATGATCAAATATGATCAGGCTGGTGCATAGATCAGTGCCACACACTAGATTTTGGGCATATTTTGGTCTGTTAGAAGAAACTGCGTCCCAAAATTTTAATGAAAGAGAAGCTTATGTATGTACAAAAATAAGGGTACATACGATGAAGGGATGGATATGACTGTAAAGATGAAAATTATAAAAGATTTTATAAAAGGAATTGATAAGAAGTTGGTTGAAAAAAGAAAGAAGAGAAATAAAAAAAAAAAAAAAGGGAGAGAATGTGATCAGGCCAGGGACTAGAACAAAGACATACACTAGAGATTTAGGGTATATTTTGGTCTGTTAGAAGAAACTGTAATCCAAAATTTTAAAGAGAGAACAACTTATATATATATATACCAAAAACAAGGTTAACTACTATGAAGGGATAGAATAGGACTCTAAAAATGAAAAATAAAAAAGATTTTTTAAAAAGGGATCAATAAGATGTTGGTTAAAAAAGGGAAAAAGAAAAATTCAAAAAAAAAAGAAAAAAGAAAATTCAAAAAATTAACTTTGAAAGACTAAAGAATCATGGTAAAAAAGCGATGAATTCTATGTGCAGTATTCCCCTAGCGCTGGAGTTCTGCCATTCTCATTGATCAGTAAACTTGGTCTTGGCTGGCTGTTTTCGCTGATCTTCTGGGGAAGGGGCCTGTTGCTGTGGTTCCCAAATGTCTTTGCTGGAGGCAAAACTGCCCCGCCCTTGCCATTCCGGGCTAAGTAATCTCCTGGGTTTTGCTCTCGGGAGCTTTTGTTCCCTGCGAGCTTTCCGTACAGCTTTGGAGGCCGAGAGTGAAAATGGCGGCCTCCCAATCTCGGCCCCGGAGGAGCCGAGAATTCAGGGTCCCGCTCCTCAGTGAGCCCCCAGAGAAAAGCAGTCAGTCACTCCCGTCTCCCTGGTCTCCGGCCACACTCATGCTCACCCAGCCTGTGACCAAGCATTTCTATCTCTGGCACCCCACCCTGTGTGGAGTCTCCAAACCCAGCAGATCCCTGCGGTGTGCTCCCACGCTGCTCTTCCCAGGGGAGGAAGAGGAGTCTCCCCAGATCTGCCGCCTGTTGGGTCCCTGCTGGAGGAGCAGGGGCCCGCCTGTGCCGCGGATCACAGTTTATGGCAACCCTGAGCTGAGAGCCCACTCCTCAGCTCTGTCTCTGCAGCTGCTTCCCCGCTCCAATACCTGGGAGCTCTGCCGCACTCAGGCACCCCCGGTCTTTCTGTGACCCTGAGAGTCCTGAGACCACACTGTCCCATGAGGGCTCCACCCCCCGCTTAGCCACTGGAGCGACGTCCCTCAGTGGAGCCGACTTCTAAAAGTTCCGATTTTGTGCTCCGCTGCTCTATCACTTGCCAGTAGCGGCTGACGGGCACCAACTCCCCCGCCATCTATCTTCCCGAATATCGCCTTGGATTCTCCTCTCCGCACATCCTACCTTCCAGAAAGTGGTCATTTTCTGTTCAGAGAGTTGCTGCTCTTCTTTTCTTTGATCTCCTGTTGAGTTCGTAGGTGTTCAGAATGGTTTAATGCCTATCTAGCTGAATTCCTGGGACCAGATGAAATTTAGGTCACCTACTCCTCCGCCATCTTGCTCCTCCCCCCATATTATAATTCTTAAAAGAATAAGCCCTACTTCTCTTAATTCTTGTTAGAGTCATCATTTGTCATGTCCACCTGAAAACCACAAAATGCTAACTGATGAATACAGATAGTTGAATTAATATTATAATAAATGATGGCCAAGAAAATTCAGGATAAGTATGCAATGAATGTAACCTATTGTCTTGTAAAGTTTTCTGTAACTTAATACAATTTTCTCTATCAGAAATCGTCTAACAGAAACAAAAACAGAAATCTGTAATATATTTTATAACTAAATTATCATATAAATACACTGCCATGTTAAAGAAAGGAAGATTTAAAAATTTAAATGAGGAGCTGAAAATAGTTTTCCTAACTTAAAAGTGACATTTGGGACAGGGGTTTCTCTAATTGAAGTGTTTCCTTTCTATCGTAAAGCATCCAGTGAGTAACAAAAATCTCATTCTTTTTCACATAAAAATCTATGCACCATGGTAAATATAACCTAACTGCTCCAATATTAAGGCAATAAATATTTTGCAAAAGTTTTTAAGATGCTGAAGCTTGAGAACCAATAGGAATTGAACATGCTAGTGATAGAAGAGAAATAGAGAAATTGATTGCAAACCCATTATTAGTTTACAAGTCAAAACATGTTTTCCAGTTAACAGTAGTAGCCATAGAAGGTTTCTACACTTGCAGAATTATTCATTGAGGGGCTTATTTTAGGTCAGACAATCAGCATTTACTACCAATATGCTGTAATTAAGCAATACTAACGTATGGAAAATATAAACTCATAAAAGGATACATCATAGAGAAGGCCCTTAGTATGGTATAAAAATGGTCCCATGAAGGCAGAGATGGGTTTTGCTTCTCCTGGAACACTTAAGAGTCATGACTGGTGCACAGTAGGTGCCGAATGATTAAATGAATGAATTTTCTTTATAAAGGTGAGGGTTTTAGTACAGTTTCACTGACCTCTCCCCATCCCTAATGACACAGAGAAGCACTTTAAGGCCATCTCTGTTCCTGCAGTGTGTGCAGATCCAGGAAAGCTAAGTGAGCATTAGGGATGCGTTCTCATCCCACTCTCCCACTAACTCCTTATAAGTCTTAGGGTAAGTGAGGTGACCATTCTGGCTATCAACTCCCTCATCCATAAACTTCAGTGACTGCAATAAATGAACTATAATCCAGTTGAGAATTCTTTTTAAAAGCTGGTTTTCTAAGGCCACTTAAAATATGATTTGGTGTATACAAATTTGGATCATTTAAACCTTCAGAAACATACTTATGAGGCAAAACCAGAGACACACATAGCTATAATTCTGAACACTTTCCCCCTGTAGGACAGTATTTTACATAACACTGACATATAAGCAGAAGCTTTAAATATTTATAGCAAATAAAATATCTAACTTTAGAAAAAATAGGCATATTACTTTATATTCTAATATCTGTAGATGATTTTAATGGTCAAATTCCCATGTATGAACTTTATTTTATTTTTGTAGTAGAAATCTGTGATTTCCCCCTCATCATCAAGCTATTCACATCCTATAGCAATCACATGCTTACCTGTCTCTCTCCCCTTACTGGACTGTGAGCTCTATGAAGACCTAATAAAGTATGTAGAGACTGATATCTGGAACAACCGATTCTTAATCCTCTTGCAGCCTGCCCAGACACTACCTACTCAATCTCCTTGACTGGAAATGCAAGCTCATATGATTAAAAAAAAAAAGAATTAACTGGAATTACATAATTTTAGAATTTGAAGACGAAGGGTAAATAAACTTACCTGGGCAAGCTTACGCTTTTCTATATTTCCTCCCTTTTCATTGTGTAATGTGTAAACTGGTGTATACTGTACAGAACCAGAACAGGTCCCATAATCTTCTTCATTTTCCTACACATTAGGAAATACACAAGTTAATTATTTTAAAATACTCCTTGTATTACTTTTGGACAAACTATCTGATACAGATGCAAATAGCAAAATAACACGTCAGATATAAGTTTAAAAAATCTATTTAGGAAGAAAATGCATTTTTCTATATTTTGAATTAATAATTTCCAAAATAATCTCTATTTTGAATAATTTGAATAAAATTTATATAAGGATTACTCTCCATCATAAAAATGGAAGTTTTAAGTAATATTTTTTCTTCAAGGATAGAAACTCAAAACAACTGACAAAAATCTGCAAAGATATAAGTAATCAAATCAAAAATATACGTACACATAAATATTCATATATATGCAACATTCATAGATTCAAATACATATCTTCAAAAAAATCTTTTATTAATTAAGAACATGCTTCAAATTAAAGTAGCGACTACTGGAAAGATCCTATAAAGATGGTATTCCTGGCTTAATTCTGCACCAAAGATCATCTTTTTAAAGAAATTCTCGGCTTGAAGAAAGAATTTCAATTGTGATATCAAGGCAATCAACTTTATGAAAACATACATCCTGTTAAAGCATCTTTGAAGATCTCCGTTGTTCTGTGTTAAAATATGCAAACGATAAAGAGATTATTCAGTGGATGCATATAGAATGGCAGATAGTTGCCAGAGGGCTTGTTATGAACAATACATTGTTGAACAAAGGGCTAAGCATATTTCAAACGTCATTAAAAACATAAATCTCGTGTGATTTGTAAAGTATAAGCTTCAAACTAATGTAAGAATCAAGGAAGAACGAAAAGAAGAATATGACATACCTTGTGTTTTAGCTTACTCTTTACTTCCTTTATTCCCTGCTTTGCATGATTTTTTGCCTAGAAAAAGGTAACACAAGTGTCTGGCTCAGCATGGTTCTATTACCATTTAAAGAGTAAGCAGATGAGCTCTCACTTCATGAAACTTGCTAACTTCATATTACTTAGAAAAAGAACAAATTATAATCTAAAACTTAATTTTCAAGAAGACCACATCACTTACTATATTATATCTAAATTAGTGAAAACATGATTAGTCTCTGTTTGCATCCTAATATCATACAAAGGCTAACATTTAGCCTGTTTGCCTCCTCAACTATAGAAAACACAGGAGTCAACCAGATTACTACTGTCCAGTCTTAATTTGAAATTGTGATTAACTGGGGGTGAAAAGAAGAATGCACATCATCACAGCAGCAGGCTATTCGGGCAAATGTTTGGACTTTAAGAAACTCAGGCACCTTTACAAAGCTTTATTAAAATGCTCTTACAGGCAGACACGAGTTTTTATTAGCAGAGATACCTTAATGTTATGGCTATTTCATGCCCAGTTTTTCTGGTACAAATTAAAGGTCACTTAACAGAAGATGCTATCCTCATGCTCCATAGGGACTCTGACTGCAGCATTTGAGCTTCTCAGGTGCTAATGTGATTCCTGTGGAATATAACTTAACACAAGTAACTGGGGACCTTCCTTAAACCTTGGCCTTTATTCCACTGGAAATTCCCACTCCGAGTGGTCAGAGTGGAAAAGAAAGGAAACTCACATTTATGTTGTGTTTCCTCAGTATATGACTATGTGCTGGGTACCTAGCATATATTAGCTCATTTAATCATCACAAGTCTCTAAAGTTAGTACTATTATTATTACATTTTACAAATAAGGAAAGTGACTCAGAGGGGATCAGTCTGCAGAGCCTAGGTTCAAATCTGGGTCCATTTCATTTCTAAGTCCAACTTCTCACCATCAAAAAGGAGAAGGAAGAACTAAGGTTTTAAAAATATATCCACTGAATATAAGCCTTACAAGAGAAAAGGCATCATGAGTCTCATTCTACAGACATGGAAGCTAAGGTCATAGAGACTTAAGACTTTCCAACTCTAGGTGGTTCTTGCTAGAACTCAAGGAGTGTTCTTGCTCCTTCTACCAAATCACCCTGCTTTCCCAATTACTTCTAGGAAGAGTGAATATGTCTTCCCAAGTTCATTTAGGGGACGGCTCTTATTTCTTTGCTGTTAATATCTGTAGTACCTAATAGAGTATTTGGCATATAGTAACTGCTCAAATTATGTCTTGAACTCAAATAAACAACTATTTCTTTATTGCAAATGAGGCAAAATCAAAACATTATACATAGTAAAAGACAACCTAAAAAGCCAAATAACACTAAATTGTATTCCTGTGGCTCTTTAGAATTAAAGCAGTTTCACATTCATTGTTTTATTGGTAAAGCCACTTAATCTATTTAAAGGGTCCCGTATTAATCCCTACATTTTCATTAGGTAAAAATGAATAATTACCAAGAAAATATTCCGGCTTCCATCTCCTAGAACTTGTATCGATCTTTGCTCTTGTTTTGTTTATATTCTAACTTATCTAAGTATCTTCTATTCTTTCAAAATTCACTTGATTCACACTAATCTTTGCAGATGCTTCTAGGTGTATAGAGTTGAATCTAGTGTCTGTAATCCATGTACTGATTCATTTAAATGGCTGCTGCCCTACCTCTTCCACTGACCTCTTTCAGACTATCTGGAAGATGGGGTACAGGTTCTCTCTATCCTTAATACCAAGCTGAAAAGAAGCAGTAAACAAGTATTCTCTACAGAGAAGCATCCAGCAAATGGCTTTAGTTAATAATTTAAAAGGCAAAAACCTAACAAGATAGTTGACTCAGAAAATCTTTTAGCCAAATCAATTACGTATTCACTTTACGGTTATTTTTAGATTTCTAAGAAAAGTGTACATGTTAAATTCTAGTTTTCTTTATGGTTTCTAAAAGCATAGGAAAAATGAGAGCATAAAAAGCATAGAGAAAATGTTCTGAGGATAGAAGAACTGTTCTAAGAATAGGACAAAACCATTATTTCCTTCAACAAATACATATTCAGTTCCTCTGTAGTATGTCCAAAACAGAGCGAAGGGACCATGACACAAACATAAAACTAGCAGGGACAGTGCCTCTGTCACTCACACTATGTGCCACCCTCACTGCTCTACAAATAACCACTACAACGCCTAGTTCCTAAGAGGTACTCAGATAACTGACCGAATGAAACAGTTTAAAACATGGTTCCCAGTTTTGAAAAATTTACTATCTATGGAAAATCAAGTAAATAAATTCTGTTAAAGCCATACGGGAGAGATCAGAAGTTTTGTTCATAGTAATCTGTGGTCAAAGGAGGAAGTTCAAGAGTTCATATTTCAGAATATGAGCAGCCTGGAAAGATGTTTTAGGTACAACTATGGAAGTAACAAACTGACTTTACTTGTCCCAAACCTCTTGACTTCTGGATTCATGTGCAACATGATCATGAGATAAATGATGAAAGCAATTAAGTATATTCTGAAGACCTTAACTGGCCTGAAATTAGTTTAGGGAATAATCTTCCAGAGAGCAGAATTTTAACTTGGGAACATTTTACTGTTCTGAAGAAAATAAAACACTCTACTGATTAGAAAGATAAAAATATGAATAATGAATAGGTTTTGAACATGTTTATTTCTGGGTTTTTGTGGAAAATATAAGTGAAATTAAGGAGAAAAACATATTTAGCAAAATAATACAACACAATTTCTCTAAGACTGAGGAAAAACTTCAAGTGTTTGTTCAAGAATAAAATAAAGGGCACTTGACTGAGAAACCTTTTTTACAATCTTAAGTGAATGTGAGAAACAAGGCTAGTTTGATGTTTCACATGGCAGTCATGTGTTATTTCATTGTAAAAAAATAAAATCTCTCCAAAAACTGTATATAAATCAAACCATCAGTATTATAGAGTAAGATAGTGACATACTCAGAGAGGTTTTCCAGAAAAACTATGAAACAACCAAACAAAATGCAGAGCCTGATGTTTCCCAGGCAAAATGACAACCTCTTCCTACGATAAGACTTCAAACAGTTCAGAATTTTGGCACCATATTTTTGAATCCACTCTGTAGATTAGCTTTCCTACTATAAAATGTAATCTTTGAAAACGATTTTTTTTAACAGTAATGGTGGCTACATATATGTCATAATTTTAAGTCAAAACAAGAATGTAAGTTCTAAGCTTATTAAAATTTATTATTCCATTACTAATTCAATCATGTCAGTTCCTTTACTGAGAAAGCATTTGAAGATAAACTCCTATAAAATCAAACTATTGCCCTCGGGTGCCTGGGTGGCTCAGGTGGTTGAGCCCTGGACTCTTGATTTCTGCTCAGGTCATGATCTCAGGGTCATGAGATTGAGCCCAGCATTGGGTTCGTGTTCAGCGTGGAGTCTACTTGAGATTCTCTCTCCTTCCTCTGACCCTCCCCCCCCACCTGCACATGCTGTCTCTCTCTCTCAAATAAATAAATAAAATCTTAAAAAAAAAACCTGAATATTTTTAGAAATAAAAAAAATATATATGACCTACTACATTTAAAAAATTACTGGATACCAACCCACTCGCTCCAACTAGTTTAATATTAGAGATAAAGATGCACGCAGGTAAAACAAGTGCTGAAACAGAAGTAACACATACTGGCCCAATGAGGACCCAAAAGATATATGAACCCTTATAGTGTGGGACTGGACATTTTATAGGGAAATAGCTAATGCCTAAGCTAAGTCTTATAGGATGATTAGTGTTTACTGGGTTTTGGATAAAATACAAGAATAAATGCTCCAGTTAGTAGAAATGGATTATGTAAGAATAGAGGCAGAAAAGAACATCTTGCATTCATGAAATGAGGAGTAGCTCAGTATCTTTAGCAATATGGCAGGCTCTAGGGTTTGGGGTGAATGGGAAGGACACAAGAGGAATCAGGTCTTGAAGGGTCTTTGCTATTATATTAAAGAGATTTTTATTTTTTATTATTTTTTATTTCTATTGATATGGCCATTTTTATTTTACTATCAGCCATGGAGAATCACTGAAGAATTTTAATTATGGAGTCGGGCATCTTTGAGGGAAGAGCACTTGCCATATTTTTCTATTTTTTCTTACTGAAGCCTCAAGTATACAATGAGAATTTAAAGTATGTTGCTAAATGAAAGAATCAAATCTTTAAAAATGGCACTTCATTATGGACTATTTCAATCTAAGTGCACAATTTTACTGACAGTTTTGAAATAAACTGAAGAATTGTTTTTATATTATATAAAGGGAATATCCTTTCTATACAATAGTTTTAATAACTGAATTCACTTCAGTCAATATTAAATCTAAATTTTTTAAAGCTCTTTTTTTTTTAAAGATTTTATTTATTTATTTATTTGAGAGAGAGAATGAGAGAGAGAGCATGAGATGGCGGAGGGTCAGAGGGAGAAGCAGACTCCCCGCTGAGCAGGGAGCCTGATGCGGGACTCGATCCCGGGACTCCAGGATCATGACCTGAGCCGAAGGC